TGGTCCTTTGGCCATTTGACCGATTTTTCCAGAGTAGATACACGCGAAACAACAATGTGATTGCTACAGCGAGCGTAAAGGTTGATATTGCAGCTCTGAATCCCGTGCCATATTTTGGTGCCTCCTTTGTTAAAAAGAATTGTGGACCGGAAATATTACCTGCGCAGTAACCTAAGAACAGAATGGCTGTCACGGTCATTTTCTTCGTAGCTCCTTTGAAGTTAGAAGCCACGAGTCCCAGGGTTAATGGATTAGACGCATAGGCGGTTTGGAGTAAGTAGTATCCGAATAAGCGAACGCCTTTTCCATCCTGCGTGTGGATGATAGCAGCACCGACTACCGGAGGTACCAACACTCCAGAGATCAAGTAGATTGAAATATTCCTATACCGTGTCGATAACCAGCCCGAAGCCCAGATTGTCACTCCAGCGATCACGGAAGCTGGAATCCCGAAAAGCACGGTGTCCAGACTGCTAAACTCGAAGCCGCTCGCTACTAAATTGCCGAAATTCTGTAGACCTCCATTGCTGATTTGTGTGAGAAAATAGCTCGCGAAGAGAAACCAGGTCTTGGGGTCACTGAGGGCCTCGCGGACTTGATACCGCTTCCATTTTCGTGTTACTAGAGGGTCCAATGTACGGGTCCCCTCGCTGTTAACCGGGAATTCCACAGATCTCTTCTCATCTTCGTTTAGAAAACTGGCAGATTGGATTGTATCCGGAAGAACGAAGAGAAGAACAATCCCCCAGATAAACGTGATGCCTCCGAAAATCTGTTGATACGTCTTAGACTTCGCGATGGAGACCTGACTAAGATCATACTCACAATGAACATCAATCGCCATGGCTCAAGGGTCTCTTCCCCATGGTCAAGCCCATATATGATGAGTGCGGCCACAATGGAACCAACTTCTGTCTCAACGAACCAAAGCGCTGTTCGAAGAGGTGTCTCATCTCTCGTATACCATTTTGAGATGATATACACGAACGATGGGACACTGGTAGCCTCGAGGAAACCAAGAAGAAATCTGCTGACAGCTAAACCTGCAAAGTTGTTGCTCGCGGCCGAAGCGGCGACCACTGCGCCCCATGCTGCAACTGATGAGGACAGATATTTGCCAATCGGGAGTTTCTGAATGAGCAATGTTGTCGGGTATTCCCACAGGAGATAGCCGAAGTAAAAGATGCTAGACAACCAACTATACTGGGTTCCAACCAATTTCTGCACAAAGAGTTAGCCGAGAGGTTTGAAAATGAGCAAAGAAGGGAGTCGTACAGTTGACTTGATGATACCAAAGATGGCACTATAGCCCAATAAAGTCGTATCAATGAAGTTGAGGGTGTAAGCTATTAGACAACAGATAACAATGCGCTTGTCGATCTTGCGCACAACGCTTTTCGCCCATACAGGATCAACATCGTGAATCTCGCCTCGAGAGACATCGGTGCCCTTGGTCTCAGAGTTCACGACAGTCTCTTTTGGGTCAGATTTACCCTCAATACCTTCTTCTTGCGAGAAAGACATTATCTCGCGTCTTGTGTTGGCAACGATTTCTTCAAATTCTAAGTGATGACCTTTTGGTCGCCGCTATGCAAGAACCATTCAATATATACTGAAATCGGGTTCAGTAAGCTTAGTCTCTTGTTGTATTCATGAGGCTCCCAGAGCGATACAAGAGATAAGAATACTTGCTTCCATCTTCTCAGATCAGTGTAGTAAAACAGGGTGGTAGGGTAGGTCAATTCGTAATAATACAAGTCTGAGTTCTACTACTACAGTCTGAGGGGCCCTCCAAGCCTTATATAGGATAGGACCCCTGTCCCCCAACTCAATATTTCGCCCATATTCGGAGATATCACGTCTCGGAAGCAATTAGCAGCTAATATCGCCACGGCTTGTAGAAATTATGGGGTTTTCCATATCGAGAATCATGGTATACCAAATGAGAAAATAGACAATGCCAAACAGCAAGCCCGTGCCTTTTTCCAACAGCCCACGGAATGCAAAGAAATGGTTTCGGACAAATTTAGCAAATATTTCAAATGCCTGCCCGAGTCTAAGATCACGGAAGGTTAGCCCAACGGAGTCCGCTGGTAAGTCTTTCTAAGCTCTCAGCAGGGACCATCGTCTAACTATTGCACTCATAAAAAAGAAGGATTTATATGGAGTTACGATCCGACTCATGACCCTGAAATCAAGCACTCTACTCGGGTCCCTCCAAAGATTACTACCTCGCTACACGCTGAGGACTTCGTATGGGATCGTACGAGTCATCTCAAGGGATTCAAAGACGGGCTTATTGGTTACTGGCAGGAATGTTTGATGCTCTCTAGGAGGCTTGTGCGTGTATTTGCCTTAGCATTCAACCTCCCAGAGCATTATTTCGACAGCATCGTCACATATCCAGGCAGTGACGGTGCCATAAACTTCTATCCAGCCATGGACGCAAACAGCCCGGCTATCGGGAGTGTTGAAGTTGGCTTGGGCTCACATACTGACTTGCAGTGTTTTACACTACTGTGGCAAGATGAGATTGGCGGATTGCAAATATTAGCCAAGTCTGGACAGTGGCTCATAGTGCCGCCGGTCGAGGGCACGCTCGTCGTGAACATCGGGGACTTCTTGATGAGACTCACAAATGACCAATTTATTTCCAATGTGCACCGCGTGTATAACCGTCCTACAGTTGGCCACTTGAGCATGCCATTCTCTTTTGGCTTCAACTTCAATGAGACCGTTGGGGTCTTGCCCAGCTATGTGGATGAAGAGCATCCAGCCAAATATGAGCCGATATCATGTGGAGAGGTAAGTTTTGTTCCTGTTGTGGTGGCCACCTCAAACAAAGCACAGTATAGGAAGCATGAGCAAGTTCACTGAGCTCAATAGTGGTGTAAGAAGAATTTGGAGATTATAAAGGTCCGGTGATGCTACTCGCCTTCGTGAATTGGTTTTAACTTCGCCTGCCGAAGAGGACCGCCATAAGATTAGGCAATTCCTCGAACCTGGTGCAAACCAGGAATAATCGACCGAGCAGTACCAAACATCAAAGGAGTATACTATAGGAGTTCTCCGCAAGATACGGCTCGCGTCTTCTACACTGAGCAGTCTATAGGGGTAAGCAGACTCAACTGCCCAACATAGGGCAAAAGGAGCTCAGCCTTAGAAAAGAAATGAAAATTTTGAAACCAGTATATTGGCTGTCGACATGTGGTATAGACAATTTTGAGGCTGTTGTAGCTTGTAGAGCTTATACTGTCCGATGTGCTTCATTAAACGGTAGTGCCTCGCATAGCAGGGAATGTAGGTAGACTAGTAGCAGTTTATTCAAACTTTTTTGTTGCTGACAAATGACTTAACATTCATCTTACATCACACTCTTCAAACATCGTGATTTCATCATTCAACCCGATATTTCAACTGCAAACATCCGATCAAGGATGGTTAACGACCCATTGATTATCGATGAGAAGAAGCGCAAGACATGTATCGCTTGCACTCAAGCGAAACGAAAGTGTGACAAAGGTGCCCCTGAGTGTGAGCGATGCATGTCTAAGGGTGTTGTCTGCCAATATCCTGATACCCCTCGGTATGCGCGACTCAGCAGAAAGCGATTGCAACACAATCCCGTCGCCGACGATCAATTGATGAACCCAATATTTCCGCCAGACCCTATAGGAACCAACCCTGTCGAGCCAGAGTCTTTATCAAGACAGGAAGGAGAATCATGGATGGGCCTTGGGTGGCCCGGCCTCGAGCAACCGCAAACAGATGATTTGTCCATGGCGGTTTTCACGAAGGAAATGCCGCTATTCAATCAATGCTGGTTTTCGGGACCGGAGGCTTGGGCAATAGACTGTTCGGCCACGCACTGCTATGAAGCACTGCCTCCAAACCATGTCTCCGTACTGAATTTATGGATCGATGAAGTTCGTGAATGGCTCCAGCAGTGGCTTGAAACTGGGCATAACGCGTTCATACATGAGCAGCTTTATGCATACACTGGCCTCCCATCTTGTCTTCAAGAAGCCTGGTCTACCCTCGCCACGTACTACTTGAAGACAAAGCGGAATGAAATCATCACTATGAGCATCGTGCAGTCTCGCGTAGAGACTATGATGGCAGCACAAGGTGTCAATGGGGAGCTCAGCCACGAAATATGCGGACTGAGAACTATTGATCACTTGGCACGCGTTCAAGCACTGTTTATCTACCAGTTCATTCGCTTATTCGACGGCGATGTTAGACAGCGGGCTCTTGCTGAGCAGCAGTTCTGTGTGTTACACAAGTGGTGCGAGCAACTCTGGGAGTCGGCCATGCTGGAATCAAGCACTGAGGGCATCTCATGGCAGGTTGGAATGTTTGACGCGACAGATCCCAAGGCCAAGCTGTGGGGAAATTGGGTGCTGGGTGAGAGCGTACGACGGACATGGTACCTCTGTAAAATCCTACACTCCATCTACTTCACCTTGAGAGATGGTTGGGCTGAATGCCCAGGATCGATCCGGTTTACAGCACGAAAAGATCTCTGGGAAGCCACTTCTCCGACAGCATGGGCCCAGTTGGCACAGAATATGCCCCTTTTACTTGTATCAGGCCTCCGAGATGACCAATTATTCACATCAACGAAGTCCAGTGATGTCGATCCATTTTCGACACTTCTTTTAAAATTACTGTGGGGTCCTCAAAGAGTAACAGAGTGGGCCAAAAATGATTTAAAAGATCGGGATGCCTACGATATAACTCAGATTTCGTAGCGGAACTTTGACGGGAGCCGTCGGGACCCACCATCACCAATGTTCCGCCAAAGTTCCGCATGTGAAACACCCGCTGTAGTGGGCGAGCCACTTTCGAGAAGGGTGTTCGCAGTGAATGCGCGGAACATACTTGGGTCTTGCTGGAGCGAAGAAGTTAGGCAGTAACAATGTTTCAGTTACTGGCAACTCCTTCTACGGGCTAGGACTTGGTTGTCGATCCCTCACAAATCGAAGTTTGAAGGGTACTTATTCTATCTCAGCTATATGGACAAGTTCGCACGATACATCCCACAACTTTGCAGCCTTTTCTACGTCATATGCCCAAGGAGCATATCCAACACTGTCACCGTCAAATTGAGAAGAGTTGGGGTCCAGTGGACCTTGCTCAATACAATTGGCAAGGTAACGGCCACCTCGCCCTTCCCACTCTTTGCTAAGGGCTGCATATACAGTTGTGGCAGCACCCTGTTCGGCGTTCATCATGAAATTCTTGCCTTTCGACATGTCCTTTAGCAACTCCCGATCAACGTATTGAGCCAAGTTGGTTATGATGCCACCAGGATGCAAGGATAGCGCATGCAAGCCCTTCGGGCCGTAGCGTCTCTCTATCTCGTTGGCGAGGTAGATGTTCGCAGTCTTGGACTGACCGTAGGCGGTATAGGGCTCATAAGAGCCTGGTTCATCGAAATTGAGGTCGTGAAATCGGATCCCAGTATGGCGGTGTCCAGCGGAGGCAACAACAACAACGCGCGAGTTGAATGAAGGGGTAACGCTTGCCAACAACGTGGGCTTCAGTAATTGGAAGAGGAGGAAATGGCCGAGGTGATTAGTGCCGAAATGCGTTTCGAAGCCGTCCACAGTACGTCCTTCCGGAGTAGCCATGACACCGGCATTGAGGATTAGGATGTTGAGCTTGTCGCTCTGAGTCAAAAATGCCTTGGCTGCAGAGCGTACTGATTCCAGCGAGTCAAGAGACATTTGAATGAGGCGTAAAGAGTCCTTGTTCTTGTCCTTTGAAGAGGACAGAATGCTGTCGATTGCCTCCTGTCCTTTCTTGACATCTCTTACGCCTAGGTAGATCGTCGCGCCTGTAGCATGCAGAGCCCGAGCCGTTTCGAGGCCAAGACCCTGGTTAGCACCGGTGATAAAGACGGCCTTGTCCGTCAATTTGCCAACAAGGTCTTCGTCCTGCACAATTTCCAATGCCGTAGGTCGAGCGTCGCCAGGACCTTGTTGTTCGGCATAAAGGGTTTGGTATCGAGACATTATGGGCTTAAGAAAATAGTCAGACAAATTTGAGACGAAGTGAAGTGATCTATCTTAATTTATGAATATTAATACCTCCGCATCTCTCAGGCTCTGAAGATGAAGAAATAAGAAAAGGAGCGCATCTCACAAGCATAGGCTTGTCAGAGTATTTATCTCCTCGCTCCAGTTCTGCGGAAAACTAGGCCAGCACAATACGCCACCACGAAGAAAGTTCCGCAGTTCCGCAGCTGCCAATGACCCGCCAGCTCCAACTTGCCATAGAATCCCGAAAGACATTACAGACTCAAAACAAGGATTTCAAGTACTAAGCCCACTAATTGCAAAACTTCCCTTCTCGGTTGAATTGTTTTGTGTTTGAGGGATCAATGGAGATTGCGGAACTTTTGCGTATCAGTCTAAACTCGGAGGTGACAGTCCTATGTTACAAATTGGAACCTATTCTGTATTGTCAACATTTTCCCCTGCGTTTAGCTCTTTAGAAATCATGTAAGGACCAATGACCATTTGCTGTCTTGCATGACATCTCCTCTTGAATCTACAAGGCACTTGGTGACTTCGCTGATAGGAGCCTAGGCTGAGCGTCAAGACCTAATAGACTATATGGGGTTGCGAACCAGAATCATCCTTGCATCTGTTTAGAATAAACAACAAAAATAAAAAAAAACTAGGCTTAAAATTTTGTGTATTCGATCGTTTCCTCAGAAAAAGGTTACTCTATGATTTAATTAGACACATTCTCTCTTTGAGACCTATCAGACATATTGTTGTGATACCAGCGTCTAAACTCTACCCTTCAAGTTTTCTTTCAAGGTCTGTAGATTCTTATATAGAAATGGTAGCTAGAGATGTGATAGATCTAAAGATAATAATGAACGACATTATTGAGAGCTTCAGTGGGGATTGTATTGAAAGCGTTGATAGATGAGAGTCTTGTAAATCGGCATGTACTTAGCAACAGCCCAATTACCACAAAGTCTAAACCCGAAGATGATCAAAGACATGCCGGCTTTTTAGGGCGCGATACTTGACGTCGAGTTTCTTATTCTGTATTCAAAATTGATTTGCTGGATTGATCTCATTACTGTTATTTTGTCTCTCAGGACATGGCTAACGAAAGATGCTAGCATCAGTTTCATCCTGTCCGCTGCCAGTACTACAAGGAGTTATGCGGCCTTGATCTCGCCAGCCTTCCTGAAAATGCCGATAAGGCTGTCGCGACAAATATCAAAATGGATTCTTGCCCAAAGGCCGCATGTGATTATTGGCGTATCTCGTACAGTTTTGTCCAATTGCAATTTTCGGCTACACGCGGGAAAGAAGCAAACTAGCGGCGGGCTCGGCCGCAACGACGCCCAAGTTTAGAAATCGAGGGGTTTAGCAGGATGGCTTTAAGAAAACACCTGGTGATTAAAGTGGCGAAGATTCATCTCTTAAACACTTTAACTCCGAGATGACTCTTAGTAACTGCAAGTATCGTCCCGGCCGCTTTTACCGCTCTGGGCGCATTGCGTAGTCGTCAGCCAATATTGATGATGAAGCAGCCGGGGCAGATAACTTCCATGTAGTTAAGAAGTAACAGGACATACCACGCTATATAGACGATATAATTTATACTTAAGCTGCAGCATTGGCGTGGGAAATATAGTTTGATTTTTGTCCCATCCATTGCTTTTGATTGATTCACTCATACGACTGTACATAAATTGCTATGACAATGACCAATTCAACGGCACCTCGAGTCATCCTGGGCTTGATGCTTTATGGTCCTGACTCCTTTAAGGACAGCCGTGTGACTTCCGTGCCAGAATTGGAGCGCCATCTCGATCGATTCCAGAACACCTACGGTTACAATGAAATTGACACAGCCCGCATTTATGTGCAAGGAAAGCAGGAGCACTTTACGGCGGAAGCTGGATGGAAAAGCCGCGGTCTCCAAGTTGCCACAAAGTCCTGGCCTTGGACTCCGGGTTACCACACGCCCGAAAACGTCAGAAACGATCTGGAAACTTCCTTGTCCGAACTCGGTACGGACCAGGTCGATATTTTCTACCTGCATGCTGCTGATCGCGCGACACCCATCACTGAGACTCTCGAGACTGTGAATACACTATATCAGGAGGGCAAGTTCAAGAGGTTTGGCATCAGCAACTATTCCGGGTACGAGGTTGCCGAAATCGTCATGCTTTGTCATAGTCGAGGATGGATCAAGCCCACGATATACCAGGGATTATACAACGCAGTCTGTGAGTAGTTGTCACCTGCAGAGAAAGTTTAATCAAAAGCACTGACACCACTCAGCCAGGAATCTAGAAACAGAGATAATCCCAGCTTGCCATCGGTATGGACTCGAAGTTGTCACCTACAGTCCTGTAGCAGGTGGCCTGTTGACTGGACGTTTCAATGGTCGTCCAGATCAAAGCTCCGCAGCGGACGAGAAGGGTCGATATGCCCTTGACACGTTCCTTGGGCCCATATTCCGAGACATCTACTTCAAAGAAAGCACCTTCCAAGCGCTCGAAGTTATCCAGGCCGCGGCAGAGAAGCATCACTTGACCGTGGCCGAAGTTGCGTTTCGCTGGCTGGTGCACCACTCGGCTCTCCGAACTGCGCCCAGAGGAGGCAATGATGGAGTTATCATAGGCATCAGCAAGATCGAACAGCTGGATCAAAATATTCTGGATATGAGAAAAGGTCCCTTGCCGGAAGATGTGGTGGAGGCTCTGGAGAAGGCGTGGTTGATTGCAAAGGGGACTGCTTCGGATCCCTGGCCTACTCCTCTGGTGTACACATATGACGCGAAAGAAGTGCTCTTCAAGGACTGAGTGGAGGCATTATCTTTGATTTGTTTTCTCTGCTGTAAGGTTGCTCCTGATTTTCGTGGGTATTAAAAAACCCCGTCGTGTTTTTCCAGTTGGGAAGGTGTTTGTGCAATATTACGTTTCATTTTCTCACCAAGACGCACGAGAGTGTGTTCGCTTCCCAGGCCCCGTGGTCATGGGCGTACAGTTGGTGTGTCATGAGGCTAGCAGTAGAAAATCAAAGATTTAACATTTTGATGTTTTAACAAACTACCCAGGCAATATCAATAACTGTCTCAGGGTTGAAAAGGCTGATAAAAGCAAAATCATTGGCTGTAAATCTCGTATGGATGTGATCCTTCTTCTGCAGCCAATCTTACAGGCACGAGGAGGCGATGATAGGATTGAGAAACATTGTTGGAAAAGACGAAAAACTGCGAGTGAGAAGTATTGGCGAGAAGCGACGAGCAGATTTGGGATCTACCTTACGATTTGTATAGCCATACCTGAGCTTTGACTCAGCTAGCAGTCATCGGATCGCATTAGTAATCGCCGCTTCAGCCGGGGAACCCAGGGGGTGGAAAGGAGGTAAGACTTTGGTCTCCGATTGCTCGGGGGACGGAAGGATGGTGCAACCGCACACATGCACACACGCACGCAGCCCATGGAAAAGAAAAAGCCGGTTCGGCATTGGGTTAATAACGATGGGTTACCGGTATTGTTGTTAGGTAGGAATACCGGTACCTAGCATGGCACCTTAGCTGATACCAGCCCCCCCCTGGCCCCCTGCTGCTGCTGCTCCTCTCCAGTTCTTCTCCTGGCCTGGTCTGGTCTGGCCTGGCCCAACTCGAACAAGCTCGTAGGAGCTGGGGAGCTTCCGCCCATTGCATTTGTGATTGGCCCAAGCTCCAACGACGGCTGGCCGACGACCTCTATTTACAGACGACGCCCACCTCATCCCATGCTGCTTGCACCCATTTCCCTATCGTTTTTCTCCTCAACAGCATCCAAACACCATCAATAGCCCATCAACTCATCAGATTTCGGGTATTTTCACAGCCGGGAATCCAAATCTTAACTCCGCGTGAACACTACCTGCAGCCTTATACAGCTGCTACACCAACACTCGCTGACCAGCCCATGTGAGTCTTTTGCTTCGTAAAATGCCCAATCGAGACCATTGTGCACCAAATTGCATCCCATACGTGACTTCTCGGCGTGCTGCAGCTTCACGGACCTAAATTGACATCTCGTCCCAGACCCACAGTCGCTAAACCAAGATGCCCGTTGAGCTCCGCAAGCGCAAGGCGCCCGCTGCTCCCCCGCCGGCTCCCCCGGCCAAGAAGCAGTCCAAGGTCGCCAAAGCCGCTGCCAAGGTGAAGGAGGCGGTGACCGGCAAGCCTGCAAAGGCCGCTCCCGCCGCAAAGAGCAACGGGGACGCCGCCCCAGCTGCTGCCGGCAAGGTCGCCGTGGGCGATGTGATCCCTCTCGACGGTTTCGGCGGCGAGATCGAGACCAACGACGGCAAGAAGACCAGCCTCAAGGCGCTCGTGGACGAGAGCGGCTCGGGCGTGGTGCTCTTCACGTACCCCAAGGCGTCGACGCCCGGCTGCACGACCCAGGCGTGCCTGTTCCGCGACTCGTACGCGCCGCTGACCAAGGGCGGCCTCGCCATCTACGGCCTGTCCAAGGACTCGCCCAAGGCCAACACCACCTTCAAGGAGAAGCAGAAGCTGCCCTACCCGCTGCTGTGCGACCCCGCCGGCACGCTCATCGGGGCCATCGGCCTCAAGAAGGCGCCCTCGGGCACCACGCGCGGCGTCTTCGTCATCGACAAGGCCGGTAAGGTCCTTGTGGCCCAGCCCGGCAGCCCCGCTGGCACTGTGGAGGTCGTCAACAAGCTTGTCGAGAGCCTCGCCGGTAGCTCGGCTGCTGAGGCGGTTCCTGTGCCGCTCAATGGAGACGATCCCAAGGAAGAGGAGAAGCCGGTGGAAGCTGCGGCAAAGACTGAGTAAGAGAATGCGTGTCTAGCATTCAGGTCTGGTCCTTTTTATGTAGAAGAAACACTGCTCGAGGTCAGGCAGAATACATATGGGACTTCCATGGGGAGGAAATGGGTAGTGGGATTGGGCTGTGTTTCGTTTCGGGGATATGATCACGCGGAAAATGGAGAGGGACGGATGGACAGGGGGATAGCAAGGGTAAGCGACTGGATTCAGATAGGGTGATCTTGTATAATGTGGGAATATATTTCTTTATATCCATGGTCTTCCTACCTATCTAGGTACTCATATTAAGTTGAACTATGGGCCTTGATTGGTTGCCAGATAGGCTTACAATGATGCTACCTATGCCAAACAGTGATGTAGTTTACGGCGAAAGCCGCTATTTTGGAATGGAATCACCACAGTCTGCTCGATCAATGAAGCAAACATTGCATCCTCATTCATTTCATAAGCCATGAACTAAAGCAACTTGAAATGAGCGTGCTGAGCCGCCGGCTGTCTGCGTTTGCTGTGGTTCAAGGATCTTATATCAAGCCATGAGAGGTCCGCTGAGACAGCGCTTGTCCACAGTGGGACAACAGCAACCAATGAACTATCACTACATACAGCCCGATGCACCAACCTTAAAACACTTCAACCTACAACATACAACATCTGATGTTTAAAGAAATTAACTTCAGTTTCTGTTGCATCGCAACAGATTCTTTGCAGAAACGCAATGGCTCCGAATAGAGGAAATATCAATCCCAGGGTGCGTTCTATCCAACTGCATGTTGGCTTGTCGTTTACTTCGCGCTAACTTTTACATCAGACCATCACGGCACCACTCGCCGCGTTCACCATGGCCTCTCTGCTCTTCGTGTAAGCACCATCTATCAATGTTGGCGTAGGGAGGATTGTGCTTCTCACATCCGCTACTAGCTACGTACGGTCATCAATGAGAGAAGCAAAAGCCAATCGGGTAAGTAAAATGTCTCAGGACGCGTGCGGGTCAAAGCTGCAGCACAATTGGCTAAATCAACATCTAGGACATGAAGCGAGAGAACTATGTAAGAGGAGTGCATTCTCCGAATGAGAAGAGGTAGCCTGAAATCGCGCTTGTATATTTCGAGAAATTTGTGAAAACAGAATCAAACTGGCGCGGAGATGTGTTGCGATGAACATCAAGTGTCAGGTGTTTATAAAAGTGATGGGATCAGAGTCTGTGATGGAAGATATTTCTCTTTGTTCTTCTTCTCCTACTGCTTCTAAGTACAAACGTATACAAATCGTATATGCTACCGATTCACCCTTCCCCGTCCGCTTCCCCCCAAAAGTCAGACACGAACTCCGCGCGGAGGGGCGCCTTGACCTCGAAGCCCTGGGATTATGACATCCGGAACCGTTGGAGAAAACCCGCTCGAATGCATCGCAAAAGACAGGTAGGAGGCAGAACAGTTATAAAACGAAGAATGATCGCCAGATGTGTGCAAATGTCGCCTTAACCAGGAGAATGTCTATACCTACACCGCACCGCCCTTCGGGGTATCGTATCAGGACACTTTTTCGTCTTTCGTACTATGATCACCGGAGTATCCGGCGTTATATGTGAGGATGCAAGGTGGCAATCGGCCACTTACGCAGTCGCGTTACGGCAGCCTGCCAGGGCCGATATATATGAGGCCAGACTGAGGTGATGCCCATCGCGTTATTCATGAGCCTGATCAAGGCTCTCCTAGCTTCCGCTTGCCCTCCGCTTTCGCGTTGTTGAGTTCTCGCATTACGAACTCATATGTGAGAAGCGTTACCGTCGCAGCAGGTACAGCCCGCATCATGTTCGTCCCCATGCCAGCATAGAACGCCCTCCATCCCTCCTCGTGGAGGATGGTGCGGAACGTCCTGACGACACCTTTGTACTTATACTCTTGCTGTCTCTGTACACCGGCAGGATTGTCTCTGTTTGATGAAGCCTGGTTCTGGGTAACTCCTGGAATGCCTCCGAGCCCTTCCATGTATTCACTTCCCGGGACCGGCCGCCGTTGGGTTTGTAACCTTGTCCTGATTACCTCGTGGGGATATGTTGCGCTGCTAGCTAGTATCTTAGACAGGATGGAAGCCGATAATATGCCAAGCCAGTGGGCGTCCTTATCGTTATTGGCCGGGGCTGCTCCCATTCCCTGACCTGTGAACTTCGTCTTCAGATACTCATATGCAGGAAACTGTACGGCAACATGCGTTAGGCCGAGGAGTGCTGGCGTCAGGCCAGAATAGAAGGCGCGGATGCCTTCGGTAGTGTACATCTTCCGCGCCGCGTCTAATGTTGAGCTGTAGTGCCATGGCGAGGGCAGAGTCGGTCTCGAAGTCGGTGTGCTGGACTCCTTCGGGAAATGTGAGAAGCGGGATCGGTGGTGGTGAGGAGTTTGGGACATAAGACGGGTCTTGATGACCCAAATTGGGTTTGTTACAATCGTGCTGCTGGCGCCTGCTATTACAGACGACCAGAAGTTGACGACAAATGTATTTTCTGTTGGGAATGTCAGCAAGAACTAGAGGTAGAGGTAGAGCCGGGAAATCATAATTTCCGGAGCGAGCTGTCCCAACTTACGGTGATACTGGCCCAAGTATGCCTTGCTCTTGTTGTAGACGGTGAACCAGGTTGCCCATGTGGGTAGATAGCCCAATATTATCGGACCCAGGCCTCGATACATGCCGCGGATACCTTCGTCCTTCCATATGATCTTCGCTGTGCCGACCAATCCTTTGTATGCCTTGTGGTGGCCCACATGCCTGCCCTTCTGTACTGCGTTAAACCCCCCTTGTGCCTGCAGCTTCGTCTTGATCACATCTAAGGGACAGGTCACAATCCCCGAGGCAAAGCCTCCTATTGCGCCGGACAGCGCATTGAACTGGGAGTCGGAGGCCCTGACGGCCCACCGCTCTATGCCCAAAATGCCGCCTGAGTCTTGCATAGCTACTGGCTCTATTTCTGGAGGAGAAGCAGCTCGTGTTCTTGTTGAGGAGGAATAGGACGGCGAGGAGGAGGCGGAGGGATACGACCCATATTCTGTAAGAGGTGCGGCAGTCGACCCTTCTTCGTGCGACATTCCTCTCCTCCGAGTCAAGTGGGATATGGTATCCGCAGCGGTCGTTTCTGTGTACTCTTATATGCCCCAGATGGCTTATTGATATGCTGCAAACACCAGGTTCGAGGCGAGTCGTCCCCGGAGGAGGATTCTTCGGCGCTGGGGGCTCGTCGTTGTGGTTCCCTAAGGTCCCGGTGTGCTGCGGGGAAAGCTCCCACGCAACGGCCGTGACACTGTAGCTATCGATTATCACCGGCCATTGACCTCGGAATACGGCTCGGCGGGGGATGCGGTCTGCAATTCTTTTTTTGTCTCTCGATCTGGTCGCAGAATGGTGAATGTTGTGAGGGTGTGAAAGCGGTCAAAGAGGGAAAAGAGCATTAATGTCAAAGGCTTGTGGTAGTAGTAGCACAGCGGATTTGAGGTGGATGTGATGGATTACACAATTGCTAGGAGCTGCTGGTGTTGGTGCTAAGCAGGCAACTTTAGCGAGCAAGGTCCGGTGGGCGCCGAGTTTCTGGTTTTAAGCTGCTCGAGATCAGTTACCGAAAAGAGGGAATGGCCTGCATCCCACAACTTCAAATGACGCAGTGCTGTGCCAGCTCTTTGTGCTCCTTCGCATGACTGAGTGAATTTGAAACCAACTCAGTGAATTGTTCAAAAGAGTTGACTTTTAAATATACTCACCCCCGGGAAGTGACTTATTCATAAGACTCAGCACATGAAATATTGCAAGTATGTTGGTAGCATGTGCCTCATCATCGGTAATGGTTCGGCGCCTGCAGCAAATCCAATGTGAAGCTCCAGTTCGTGTAATTTCCACAGGAGGTATGCTCAACAGTCATCGGGGGGCTATCGGGGGTCTTGGAGCGCATTACCTCATACCTAGCGCGCCTGTGCATCGCGACCAAGTCAGTGCCAATTGACTTTGGCCAATTCTGGCTGACACATGCCTCAGGCTCCAAGCCGGCTTCACGTGACCTTCCGGCCATTCGCGAAAATCCGTGAGACAGCTTCAGTAACCTCGCTCATCTGATCGCGGCAATTTGCTTCTCTCAAGGCAACGAAGCTCTCCTCTCCTCAATCCACACAACATGTCCTATCCAACCCTCGCCCCGTTCGTCCTCAAGCGGGCCTGGCTGACCAAACTGGCTATGCCCTTTGCCAATTGGTACGCCAATGCCGCCGGATACCGCCAGCTCGGCCTCAGGTGAGTTCTGCTTTTGGAGGGGAGAAGCTGTCTCGCCCTCTCTCTAAATGCTTCGACAAGAAGTCAATTGGCTAATATCCGGCCTTCGCGAATAACAGAGCCGATGACCTGATCCCCGAAGAGAGCGACACCGTCCAGCTCGCCCTCAAGCGCCTGCCGCCCACGACCAACTACGACCGTATCTTCCGCATCCGCCGCGCCCAGCAGCTCAGCTTGTCGCACAAGCTGCTGCCCAAGAGCGAGTGGACCAAGCCCGAGGACGACAAGCCGTACCTGATCGATCTCATCCGCGAGATCGACGCCGAGAAGGCTGAGAAGGACGCCCTCGACTCCATGACCGTCATCAAGCAGCACTAAGAAGTTCTACGAGACGGATGGGGAAAGGGAGAGAGGCTGTGTGACCTATGCCTTGGTGAATTTAGCCAACTTGTACGTTATGGCATGAATGAGCGCATCGATAGACGTTATGAGGCGCACGGAGGGAGTACATGAAGACTTGTCTCTTCCTCCTGGATGGATGGGGGCTTTTAGAAAGCACCGGGGAAGCTAGACGGCGAGTCCTTGTACAAATATATGCTGGAAGCTTCCACAAATTCAAAAGAACCACTCGCCATACAAATGTGCTTGCTCCCTGTGACTGTGATGGAGATAACTGTCGTGTGGTGTGGCCTGTGAGGAACTAGCCGGTGAAGAGAAGCGGCGATGGTTGCCCTTGAGGCAAGCTTCTCTTACATAAACTCCCTCTCCGAGCTTTGGTAATTGTCACTTGTTACGTGGGATAGATTTACTATAGCAGAAGCAAAGTTATGAATAATTCAGCACTTTTGCGGATCGCTTTTAGTTCGCAAGGATGGCCATTGATGTTCTTTCTGCACATATAACATCTCCCTCATGTTGATATGATGACACGTCTGGATCGATGATGTATGTATTACTCTGCCGATTCTTTCCTACAACCAGTGCCGCTAACCCATACACCTTTCGTCCTTCCTTACAAAAGGTCCACTCGATTGACCACTTCACCCCAGTGCAGAGTCGCTTCCTCCAACCTCCACAAAAAGGCCGCGAACTTCCGTCCCGGCTGCCTCAAAATTGCCAACGAGGTACATACCAAAGTCTATTAAGTCCAAGAGCCAAAAGGCAGCTGCTTGCCGCCAGCTTCCTCCGCCAATGCTCGCAAGAAAAAAAAACAAATACGTTATCAAAACACCAGCCCTTTCCATGTGACTGAGCCCATACCAACGAAGATGGAGAATATAGTGAGGCGATGCATGACAGGACAGTAGGATAAGCCAAACCTCAGGCTGATAGACAGGTAGTAACCCAATATCTGATCTTGTGAACGAACAGGGGAGATGGTCAAGATCCTTGAATCATCGTACTGTCGCGGGGGTCGGATCGGCCAGGGTAAGGGGGACTCAGGAAGAAGGGAGAAATGTATAGCGGGATATAGAATGTATGGCAAATTTTGTGACTTGTCAAGTGAAAAGCCAACCCAGCCCCCTGAACTCCATTTGGTATTGCGAACATGGACGCGGCGTATATGCGTCTGTATCATAATGAGGTTGTCGTACAATAACCAGCGTCGCCCGTCGCAGAGCTTCGACGCCTCATGTCGGTCGATACAAGTTGGGTCTCTGAAGGACCCTACAAAGAAACGAAGACGGGAGAGTTGGGGATATGGCGTGGATTGTGTTTGGTCTACGCATTTCCACCCTTCTCTTGGGTATCAATATGCCAAACGACGTAGTTGGGCAGACCGTAGACGCCATAGCCTGCGCGCTTAGCCATCTTCGCGAAACCCTCAGTCTCGGCTTGGTTCTCAAAGGCGTAGCAAGGGAAGTTGATGCCTATAAGCAGCTTCGTTAACTTGTGCCTCAATAATTTGACGGTGCAGTGTACGAACCTGATCTGTGGACGTCGGCCTTGACGAGAATGTTGACGCCACCAATGCCATCAAGCTCAATCTCCTCGTCCTTGTCATTGCGCCAGTCACCCATGCGAGCCATGTAGGTACGGCCAGTGTCATATTGCTTGTAACCTAGAGAGTATTAGATACGTGTAATGGACCGGAAAAGATATGCGACCTACCCTCAGCCAGGACGACATCCTTATCCAGGCTGTTTTGCAGCCTCCGGCCCTTATCAGTCTCAACCCAGGAGTTGTAGTCGACTTTGAAAGTGTTAGCAACTTCAATGTGCAAGCAGCAGGACAATGGTGCTTACATCGTCCTTCGACATCACGACCATCTCTGTACCGGTGGAACCAGATGTCTGGCTTGGTGTCAGTATAATATCCACGAAAAGTGCGGAGGATAACATACTAGGCACGAGAACGTCTCGATCGTGGGCAATAAAGTCCTCAATGATCTTCTTAGGGCTGTCAACAATGTCGACGTCCCTCCAGTAAACCCAGGAATGTTCCGGCTTCATGGCAGCAGACAGAAGGTAGTTTCTGGCTCTGCCCATGTTCTTTCGGCGGGGACCCTGAGCCTCGAAGCCGTGACGGTCCTGGACATTCTGGCTGAGCTTGAAGTTCATATCCTTCTCAACGACCATTGCGCTCCGGAAGGCAATGTTGTCAGGTCGCTTCTGAATCCGGTCGAGCTCAGATGCCAGGACAGCAAGAGTATCGTCAGTAGAATCCGAGACGAGGAAAGCGATATCAATTAGGTGATGCGGGTATGTCAGCTCAGCGATCAGTTCGAAGTACTTGGACAAGTAGGGAGCGGCATCCTTGAGAGGGGTTAGAATGAGAACACGCTCCTCATTGGCGACGGCCTTCTTGGTCGACTTGATAGGGTTGAGGTCGACGTGCGTTATAGTCGAAGAGTTGACCTCGTACGGCTGGTGGTGATTGAAGATGACGGGCGTCTGGAGATGTGCGTTCCAGGATGCTTGTTCATTGAGAGTCATGTCCATTGGTGGTTTTGATGGCCCCCAGCAGTAGAAACTAAGCGCGGCGATTCTTGTCAGCATATGATGATTCTCGTAATCCAGAACGGATTGAACACGGTGACCAACCTCTGCATCTCTGAAGCGGATGTGCGGACGCCGCGCCATAGTAATAGAACGGCTCCTGTGATTGCGACGACCAGGAGAAACCTAGTCCTTGTGATGAAGTGCCATATCGCCCTGGTTGGGGGCAGTCTGGCTCTGGTGGCCTTCCAGTTGATGCCGCCCTTGGGGAGAAGCATCGTGCGGGTGGAATAGGTGGTTCTAGCACCACCCTTAAAGCCAGGCGCCGCGGATCAATTGAAGGCCTGTTGCCTTGCTCGCTTGTCTCGCCGTTGCGTTGCGTAGCGTTGCGTTCCGGCGGACCTTCGACCAGCGACTCGTGCGTGGTACGCGGAATTTTCCCTGTGCAACCGGCTGTGGACGTGGAAGATTAACGCGTGATGTCGTGTTCGGCAGTGCGAGAGAGAGAGGAGGCCTAGCGAACGCGGATGACAGTCACCTCTGTCGAGATCCGATTAATTGAATGCACGCTGAAGCCGGTGGTGGAGTCGGGGAGGAGGTCGAAGTCGAGGATGAGGAAGCTGAAAGATCGAAAAGTCGTGCAATGAGGCGTGTCAAGTTAAGGAGAACTGGAGCCAGCCTATCAAGGCGCAGGCAGAAGGCACTCGGCGTGATAATACGAGCCAGGGCCAGGCCTGCACGCTGCGTGCTGGTGCTTGCTCGCTGAGGAGAGTGGGTGGGCCGGCCTGCCACCCCCCAAAGTCCCAGGTACATGTGCCCTGCCCGCCGACTGAACAGTGACCTCCGACCCTGCAAGCCTGCTACTGAATCAAGCGATCCGTCGCTAAAGGCAAAATTCTCTACGCAATTTGCCAGCTGCTGCCAAGACTCTCCCGTCATTTACCCAACTAAATCGTTATCTCTTAGCAGTACTTAGGTGGCCAAGGCAACCTGACCCCCTGAAGCCGATGGATTTTACAGCGCCAAGTCCGGCGCGGACAAGTACCCAGTACATGGTGAGAAGCGGGCAGAAGGATTCGAAAGGGGAATGGAGGCGGAACGATGGCCATCAGATGCTGCATTTGGCGGGAATTTGTGCTGTCATTTTAGGGAGGGGGAACATGCTCCATAGCGGCCGTTGAATTCGAGCCTTCTGTACGGAGCAATGCTGGCTTGGATCGAAGGGAACGAACCTTACGACCAAAGACCCTTGTTACTTCCAAGTATATGCAGCTTTCTCGGTTGCCGCACTTATTAACATTACATCGCATCTCGATCAACCAGAGTTTTACCAGGAAATGCATTGGTTAACTCGAGTTGGATCACTGGCCTACCAAAGCAAAGCACAGTCTACGAATCCCTTGAGTCTCCAGCGGAAAAGTCGGCAGTTTACCTCCCCCACGAGTCAAGCAGGGAGCTGTCGCACTGTCTTTCTAGACTTCTTAGTAGAGGAGCTATGGTGCAGTAAGGTACACGTACGCTCGTCTGCGCCTGTACGCCTGTCAGGAAGCGATTCGCATAAACCGGCGTATTGTTACCTACCTATTTTTATCAGCTTACAGCCTGCCTTAGCACCAAAGGCAGATCCAGGTTTGTAGCACCGGCGATCCCTAATCCTTCCTCCACGGCTGCAATAAAGAGGAGAGCTAAAGTCGTCATTGATGCCCCCCGTCTCAGCTAAGACTGGACAACTTGGTGAATACTCTGATTGGTAGCACAGAATGCTCAGTCTGGTGAATCAATCGCTCATTCTGAAGTGGAAGCAGCATCGTGTCGACTTCAGTGCGCCCAGGTATCCTACGCACGTGATGTATCACGGGAACAGGCGTCGGGTTTTCGTGGCTCTCTTAAGTGAAACACGCCCTTGATTTGTCAAGCGTGTTGGAGTCCGCCAGAGTCTCTTCAGCCTCTTCAGCCTTTTTTTCCTAGGCAACCAATTCTCCCATGCTTATATTTTAAGACATGCTAGCTCACTCATCTCCATCTCTTCTTGCCAGTTGATTTGCCTGGGTCTTCAATCCATCTCTTGCAAGTGTTGCCAAGTGGCAACCTACGACGACAAGCTGCTTCACACGAATGGTTACAAGAACTCTCCTACGTCATTGGCAGATCTCTTTAACGCTCATTCTCGATTCTTGTCCGCCGGCATTTTGGCCGAAGCTGAGGTCGCATCTAGGACTTCACCTTTCACCTTATAGTTTAGTCTCATCAACCAAGATGGCCGCTCGAAGATCTACCCGCTTGAGTGCCAGCGGCGAGGGCAATGTCACAAAGGTCGAGGCAGCAGAGATGCCACCCCCTCCTACAACTAAATCCCGGAAGAGAAAGGCTTCACAGTCAGCTCCGGCAGAGGAGGTCAAACCAGCTCCGACAACTCCACGAAAGCGGCTGCTCAAGAGCACGGCCCCTCCGCCTCCGGCGACTCCTACCTCGAGCGCTGTCGGCCTCATTGCCGAGCCAGTGGTCAATGGAACCGCCACTACACCAAAGCCCAAGAGCCGTGCGGTAAACAGGCTTGCGGATCCAAAAGCCACGAACGCACCTCTACTATCACCGCAGACATCACGTGTTGTCACATCTCAGGCCGTTGACGCCATATCACCGTCCAAAGTTGGCTCGATCAAGACTACTACAGCTAACATCCTCGAGGAGGCGTGCAAGCACCTCATCAAGGTCGACGCGCGGATGAAGCCCCTGGTCGACGCTCACCACTGCCGCATCTTCAGCTCGGAAGGTCTGGCCGAGAAGATCGACCCCTTCGAGTCCCTCGCCAGCGGCATCATCTCCCAGCAGGTCTCAGGCGCCGCGGCCAGGGCGATCAAGGGCCGCTTCGTGGACCTGTTCGACACATCTGCGTCGTCCAGGGGCTTCCCACAGCCGTCCCAGGTCGCGGCCACGTCCATCGAGAAGCTGCGGACGGCGGGCCTGTCGCAGCGCAAGGCCGAGTACGTCCAGGGCCTGGCGGAGAAGTTCGCGTCCGGCGAGCTCACGGCACAGATGCTTCACGACGCGCCGTACGAGGAGGTGCTCGAGAAGCTGATTGCCGTGCGCGGTCTGGGCCGCTGGAGCGTCGAGATGTTCGCTTGCTTCGGCCTAAAACGCATGGATGTCTTCAGCCTGGGCGATCTGGGCGTTCAACGTGGCATGGCGGCGTTCGTGGGGAGGGATGTCGCCAAGTTGAAGAGTAAGGGCGGCAAGAACAAGTACATGAGCGAGCAGGAGATGGCAGAGATCTCGGAGCGGTTCGCCCCGTATCGTAGCCTCTTCATGTGGTACATGTGGCGAGTCGAGGAGACTGATGTCAGCACCATGGAGGAATAACGGTCATCGTTTCTCAGACAGTCATCTCCAGCATTAGGGAACCACCTTTCAAGGGCCGAGGCCACGCACTTCCAGATAGGCCTAGAAGTTGAGCGTCGACCTTAGGTGGCGGAGCAATGCCTCCAGCTTGTACAGATAACTATGTATGTATGAATGACTTAACGATGGCGATGCCTTAAGATTTTCAAAGTTATAGGGCATACGCGTCCCTCTTCAAGGCATTTCATGTCTAATAGAAATAGTTGACAGCTCTGCGATCAAAGACTTTGAAAAGGGTTTCATGTAGAACTGTCCCCCCTCGGTGAGGGCGACGTAGCATAATATATGACAGCTGTCCATGAGGTCAAACAGCATCTCACGAGACATGTATGAAATCAAGTTTTTGGTCAATGCGTGCGCCTGTGTCACAGCAGCACCGTCCTCCCCAATGATGATGGTATCACGTCCAACCTCTCGTCCGACAAGCTGCTTACCGGAGACCTGGGAGGGACGAGGAGGGTGTAGACGTAGCCAACGACATTGCACCTGTCCGACGTGCCCTCAGCAGCGACGGGAATGTCGTGGACGGGCGGTGCTGTTTCACGACGGCCCACGCGCCACAGCAGATGGCAGCCATCGTCGCCGCGAGGCAAAGGCTAAAATCCCGGGGGGCGGCATGCCGGGTGGCTGCTGTCGGAGGGCTCTCTTGTGTGTTTTTTTTTCTTGGTTCTACAAAACGTCTGGAACACGGCCTGATTAGGCTCTTTTGGCAAATTTGCAAGACTGTTTCAACTTTCGCGGCGCGGTGGCGGCGATAACCCAGGTAGGTAGCTTGAAGCTGCTTCCCATGTGCGCAACCGCTTTCCTTAACTGTGCTATGCGCAACATTGCTTCTCCATCTGCGACTGGGTGGTCGTCGTCAACTATGTCATCTAGGAGAACCCGCCGTAAGAATCACAGGATCATCAAGCATCAAAGACAGCAAACGGAACTAGCCTATGAGGCTGAGCAGCTGTTTCGTTTGGAGAGGCCGCCAAGACTGGAGCCGATGTTTGAGGGCGTGTCGCAGGTTGGGGGCGCCCATCGGCTGAATCTAGCAACTGTGACGTATTCACAGCTCCGGGTTATACAAACGTCACATAAGGTTGATTGGGGTCTGGGCTCTAGACGTTTTGAAAGCATTAACACCAAGCAGTTACAATGCTTCAATACGGCCCTGGACGACCAAATCCGCAAGTGCCGTTCTGAAAATTGATGAGCGCGGCAACGGCATTTGCAAGATATTGGCGGTGGGGACCATTCGGCCCATATAAGATTATGAGTCGTCGAGTAGTTCCCGCCCGTCGTTCCAGGAGTTGATAAGTCAATTGTTGGCAACGGTGTGCGCGCATGGCCCTGCTCGAGCCCTGCATCTGAGTTGATACCCTGATTTCTAGAAGGGCAAGGAGTCGCAGTGATACACGGGCAAACCGCTTCAGGAATGGAAGATGTGGGAAGGGGTGGCTTTGAGATTGGCGAATCAGCATTTGATGACTTGCCAGATCGGCTCAGGGGGTGTGAAATTAGAAACTGATATGCAAAATGAGCAGGACCACATGCAGAAGATAACAGGAAAAGGATGCAGGCCCATAATTGGAACCGGTACCCGCAACACCATCTAGCATTTGGACCATCATGTCCGGATAATACAGCGTGGCATTGCGCCAGCAGCAGACTCTTTTCCCAAGATAGCTTTTCCCCCCAAGCGAGCGGTGGTGCAAGCCAGTTTGCTTAGGAGGCGCCAGTGGCCAATTGACAAAACTAGGATGGCCTCAATGGGGGGGTTTTTATTTTTTTTGTGAAGGTGGACCTTGGATCAGACTTGGATCGTGATGGCTACCCCCGACAATCAAATTTTGCCCATCACCACGAACAACGAATTCCGCTGCTGCTGAGAGGCCTGGCTTGAGTGGCCATGCAAGCTGAGGGTGGTGGGCCCCAAGCATTCGGCCCACCACTCAGATGGCCCGAACGGGGAACTGCTACACGCATATGCTACTCCAGAGTATGAGGTACAGACGACGTAATACTTCTAACGCCTCTCTCCGGCCTACAATGTCTACTGCACCTTGTGGTGTGTGCTGACTTCAAGACTGGACCTGGACTAAGGTGACTAGGCAACTAGCACAATGAAGGATTGTCAAGCTGCCTCGACTGGTTGGATTTGCTCGTATTGGACTGCTGTTTGACCATGCCATTGTTCTGTTGTTGCGCAGCATTGCCGTCCGGGTAGCTCCAGTCTGCATTCGTAATCGGTGCCGTCAGCACTTTACAGAGTTCAAGGAGCTTTGCCAGAGAAAGACCCACAGTCCCAGAGGTGGGCTGCAGCAGCAATTGCACGAAGAACTGTCGTGAGATTTTGAGAAGAGGGTTCTTCGCTGGAAAAGGTGCTGGTATTATATGCCAGCGTCGTCTTGGCTTGGCACTCGAAGACTCGAGTCCAATTCCTCAAGGAGGTGAAGAGGAGGCGCAGGATTGTCCGTAGTCGCATCCCCGGAGATTGGCGCGAGGCCTGCATAAATCGTAGATTGTCTCCCACCGGCGGCTACTTTATGGGTGGCACGGTGATTGTCCACTGCTACGAGAACTAACGTTAGTGTATTTAGCAACGGCTAGACACGCAGCCGGGAGCATGAGGAAACAAGTCGTCAGCCAGCCTAAGAAAAGTAGCCTCTTCCTCCAAGCTCAAGCAGTGGACATCAAACGGAGACCCCAATCGGTGAAAATGAGAATAGGCGAGCGAGTGGACGCCACCCACAGAAGCCAAGCCGATTATGCAAGCCCGAGACCTTGCGCATGTCTGGAGTGTGTTCCTCGTGCATGCCGGACCACTGCATCTTTCCGTGGCTCAAAAGCCCGCTTCCCAGATGTCGTTGATAAGAAACGCCTGCACAAGACTTAAGTGGGTTTCGAAGGCGGTGGACAGCCTACTGTAACTTCCTGCTTCGGACTGGGAATGGGCAATCTCGCCAGTGATATTTCGCGATATTGCAACCCTCCAGGCGTTCAAGGGGACGGGCAGGCCATTCAGCCATCCAAGCCTACCTCGGGCGCGGCGTTGCTAGGAGGCCCTGCTAGAGCCTGGGTCGGGTCCATCCCTGTTGCCCCCTGCTGATTGCACGCCCACATTGACGTGGTGGTCTCCACTGTTGCCAATTGCTTGTGCGAGCTGGGTGCACGCCTCTGGTGTAGAATGTCCACTCGAATGAGAGGAGAGCCAGCAAGCAAAAGGTCAGGTATTTTGCGTGATGCGCAGGTGCTGCAGAAGTGCTGCGATCCGAGAGGTCCACATGCACTCGTTTTTTGTTCTTCGTATGCAGGAGGTACCTTAGAGTAGGACAGATGCATCTGGGAGCCGGTCCCAGCACGCTGGTGGTGTGTAAGTTGGCCATCCTGTTTGGACGGCTGGCCACCCGTACGAGGAGACACCTGTTTTTGGACGTCCCGTTCGACAACAGCCAAGAGACGAGAGCGAGCGCCGCTCTCAGGGCGAAATCAGGAGGGACAACAGATCGCCCGTGCATGGACGAAGCAGGAATGCCAGAAGCAGGCTCAGGCCGGCCAGGCAAGACTTGCAATGGTCGCAGTGTCTCATACACCGGCCCCTCGATTGCCATGGATCTGGCTGGGGTTCCTGGTGACTAATGTTAGGGAAATCTCCATTAGGTAGTAGGATGGGCAGGTACCTACCAGTTCTGCTAGACTCGCACCCCCTTACGTGTGTGCACTGGGACGGAGGGCGAGGATGAGCGGCCAGGGCCAGGAGAGACCAAGGAGAGTGTTGAGAGGGTGGGGGTGCGGCACGGACGGACGTGGGGTGTGCGTAGGGAGCATCGCCCGCCCTTGAATATTAGCTTCATTACCCCCTTCTTTCCTGCCCTTCCCTTTTCCCTGTGAACTCCCTCAAGCCACACCACCTGCCGTCGTCCGTCCTTCCGGTTTACATTTTTTCGTCCTTCTCAAATACGCTTGTTTCCCCTTCACGACATTCGCTACTGTCGATATTTTTTTCGGCGAGGAAGGAAAGAGTTCGAGACCAAGGCCAGAATACCCTCTTCTACCTTCACTCACTCTCGTTGAGCACTGTAAACCACCAAAACAAACCCGACTCTTTTGTCGCGTTCGCGTGTCTGCTCGTCGTCCTCCCGACCCAGCGACACCCAGAGAAGCTTGCCCGCCTAAGGTAGCTTCCAGACCGTCCGGTTATCCGCAGTTCATCCATCCATCATCTTCCATCACCAAGGTGTGTAAAGCAATCTCTATTACCCGCGTTGTTTACAACTCCTGCTGCTGTGCTCCTCCTTCCCTCCTTCTACCTTGCTCCTGTACCGCGCCTCGCTGCTTAACCGCCCGACTACGCAACGTTGCTCATCACCAACCTGCCCGGACGACGCGCGGCAGTGACTCGCACCTTCAATTGATCCGATCAATCGATTTGGACGAGAGTATTCATCGAAAGCAAGACCGCGAAGTGCTCCGTCCCAATTTGTTCAAACCAGCATTGATCTGGGAAGGTGGGATGGTGCAACTACTTGTGGACAGAGGCGTCTCTCGTGTGTCGCTTGACGGTTCACCCTCATCGCTTCGCCAACTTTTCAATCAACACATTCATCAATTGTCTTGAATGCTGTTGCGTCCAGCATTGCAAATTATAGAAATAGTCCACCCCAGCTACTATCGGCTTCTACTGTCCACTGCTTCTTGTTTACGGCTACGTTTTCTGTTCGCCACAGCGCAATTGACAGTCAATCCCGGGTTCCAGCATTGCTAACCAGCTGTAGCTTCATCAAGATGATCGCCAAGATCCTTCTTCCGGCCCTTGTGGCTGCGACCGCAGTGTCCGGTAAGTCTTCTACTGCCGCTATTTGTCTTATCTGTAATACCGAACTGACGACTGGCCTTCACAGCACAATCTTCGACCTGCACCAAGGCTACCCTCACCGTTAACTCGGCTGCCGATGCCACAGCTCTGTCCAGCTGCAGAACCCTGAAGGGAAATGTTGTCATTGGACCTGATACCGGCGACACGATCGACCTTTCTGGACCTGGTCAGATTGATGGAGATCTGACCATGACGAGCAACGGCAGGATTGTGTCTCTGTCCAGCACTTCCCTCAACTCTATTTCGGGAACATTCAAGCTGCAGAACATTACCATTCTGTCAACGCTGTCCTTCCCAGCTCTTCAGAGCGTTGGTGCCATCAGCTTCCAGTCGCTGCCCGCTCTTGATGAGCTCTCTTTCGGAACACCCGGAATCACCGAGGCCAAGAGCGTCATCATCAGCGATACCCATCTGAACAGCCTGGATGGTATCGATTTGGAGACCACCAGCTTGGTGGATATCAACAACAATGGTCGTCTGACCGAGTTCAACACCCAGCTTGGCAACCTGAGCGACAACCTCAACATCCAGGCCAACGGTAAGGACCTCAAGGTCACCATGCCCAACTTGATCTGGATTGCCAACATGACGATTGCCAACGTCACCGAGTTCTCTGTACCCTCGCTCGAGCATGTCAACGGCTCCATGCGATTCGATTCCAACTACTTCGAGTCCTTCACCGCTCCTAACCTGACCTCCACTGGACAGGATATCTCCTTCGTCAGCAACTCCGAGCTCACCAACATCTCTATTCCCATCCTGGAGAGTGTCGGCGGTGGTCTTACCATTGCCAACAACACCGGACTGGAGAGGATCAACTTGCCCAAGCTCGAGACTGTTGGTGGTGCTGTCAAATTCAGGGGTAACTTTAGCAGGTACGTTCTTATTACTATAGGTCTGTACATCGAATCAATTGCTGACTGACTGTAGTGTCTCTCTCCCTGAGATCAATGATGTCAAGGGTGCTTTCGACATTGCCAGCACGACCAACATCACTGCCTCGTGCGACACCTTCGAGGCCCTTAACGGTGTCATTCAGGGCAGCTACTCTTGCGAGGGCGAGAAGGCCGATGCCAACGACGACACTTCCGATGGTGACAGCGGCTCTTCTGGCAGCAGCGGCTCTGGCAGCGACGACAATGACAACGCTGGTGCCAGCGTTGCTGTCAACTCTGTCATCCTCGGCGCGATCTTCATTGGAGCTGTCGCCCAACTTCTGTAAATTGCGGGGAAATGACTATCACACACATGGCCAGGGAAATCGGAGGCGTTCTTCTTTATCCAGATGGATCTTCTTACCGTGTCTGACTTGACGTTTACTATTGCTCAGCCGCACCTCGTCGCGATTACTTGGAACACATCACGTACAGGAACCACTAGACTTAATAATCCTCTTTCGAATGTTTATCACACCCACTCATTATTTTCCTCTCGATTGTCTTGTGATACAGCCCTCCCGAGACTCTACAGTGTCCGGGAGAGATTCATAGTTCTTTGGTTCCCCCGTCTTGGCCGTCTGACAGGAAAGCTCAAGGGTCGACGTGTTATTGAAGTTTCGTCTCGGATGCAGTCGCGTTCTCATACCTTGGTGCCCTTCAACAAAAGAGAAGCTCTGGGTTCTGAGTCGTTGGGCTTGGAGAAGGCTTGGACCGTTTATGGGGATGTAACTTGTTTGGGGAATGGGGGAGATTGTAATGTGACTCGTCGTGAGAAGCACACGGATGACGAGTGGCCGTAGGATTTAAAAGTAGAGAGGCCGGACGTGTAGTTACTAGAGATGCCAAATCCGGACGTGTATATTTTCCTCTGAACTTGCTGTTTCCATCGTAAACGTATGTATTCGTAACTCTACCACGTTGACCATTTGTAACCATAGAATATGTTCGGCACATTTCAATTTACATGCTTCCAGCTCTTGTCAGCTAGCAGTAATGTACCCGCCTTGATGACCTGTGTTCTGTTCAGAAATATTCTCATGATCAACGTAATCTTCCTTCTTGTCTGCTATAGATGTAAGACCTCGATTATGACCCAGAAGGCCATTAATATGGACATTATCATGCGTAGACACCCTTCTCGAATTTTTCTGAGTCATAAAATCTCGCCGCGACCGCATTGCCATTGAAGATGCGTCCTTCAAGGGAATTCACCGCCCGCAGCGCCGAGACCTGGTCCGTGAATTTGATGAACACCTGCCGGCCCTGGACGTCAATATACAGGCGCTCCACGCGGCCATACTTCTCGCCGCACTCTTCGCCAATCTCCTGTCCCAAGCCCTGCTCAATCTCCCCCTGCAGGTCGTCCATGCCCTCCAGCATGTTCTGCAGCACGATCACCTCGGACATGGCGCCGAACTTGCTGCCTCCGCCGTCCTCTCCTGCCCCGGCGGCCCCAGACCTCTTGCCGCCAATGATCTTGCCCCGTCCGGCCGGGTCCACGAAGCCGCCACCCTCGGCGTCTGGGCGCTTCCGTCGCTTCTCTACTTGTACGCGGAGTGGGTTGACGATGCCTGACGAGTCGGCGCCTAGGCCCGAGCCGGCAGTCCAGCCATACTTGGACATGAGCCGCTGGGCGAAGCCGGCCTGGCCCGGACGGTTCGTCCGTCCTGTCGTCTCGGAGTCGGGCATTGATGAGTCTGCGTCAGGAGCAAATGATGGAGGTGGAGATTGGGTCTCCGAATCGACATCCATCCTGTCATCAAGAGGCTGCGGAGGCGCCTCGTAGCGTACCGGTCCTCGTGAGATAGTGGCACCGTCAGAAGACGGCGGAGGAGGTGGGGGCGTAGGGGACGCCGGCGGTGGAGGTGCTGCCATTCCAGACAGGGCAAGACGACGAGCATATGCCTCGTCGGCACTCTCGTCGGGCGGAGGTGGAGCAGCTGGAGGATTGTCGTGCGGAGGCGAGGGAGGAGGTGGTGCAAAGGAGTATTCTGCTGGCGGAGCAAACTGGTCTGTAGCATCCATGGTAAGTATTTATGAACAACAGAGGGCCCGCGAGGTTATGACAACTGGGATACATACTGCTCACGGCCGGCCGGTGATCCTCGTCCTCGTCATCTTCATCGCTCTCGTAACTCGGCTTGCGCCGCCTGCGGTGCGCATACAGCACGGCCTTCCACTCCTGAACCTCCCGGATGCGCTCGTCGCTGCGCAGATACTCCTCGACATTGGTTGGCCGCGCCGGATCATATAACTCGTCCCAGTCCGTTTCCATGCGCTGATCGTCCTTCTTCTTCCTTTTCCTGCGCCCGCCGCGTTGCCGCTTCTCGCCCCCTTTCCATGTGTAGTCGTCGTCCTCCGTTGCCGCCCAGTCGGCCAGTGTACTCCTAGGTTGTTGTACAGGGGCGGGGGCTACTCCTGTAGCAGCCCCAGCATTGGCTGATGCACCTACACCAGGCGGTATGGCTTTGGGAAAGCTGGGCTTGATTGTCTTCTGTTTCACTTGGGGACGGCGAATTGGTTGGAATCGCAAAGCTCCAGAATGGTTAGCTTGTTGAAGACACCTCGGTCAGGACAAATACTAGACGTACCTGGATCAGCAGCCTTCTTGGCTGCGGCGTCATCTTTGGAGTCGCTACCAGTGCCTGCCTGAGCGTAGAGTACAGGGGCGCTGGATATAGATGCCGAGGAATCGCCTTTCGAGTCGAGGAGGTTCGCGTAGAGCGACATGCCTCCTCGCGGCGGCGGAGGAGGTGCCGCCATGGCGAGGCTTGCTAGTACTCCTTAGCTGCGTAGTCGTTTGTTCAGCCGGAAGATGGTCAAAAGCTTTATGGACATCGGCTTAGTCTCTGAATATATCAAGGGCAGTTTGCCTGGCAGCTTGAGGTGCGAAGTCAACAGCCTTGCACGCAAGGCATCGATTGGGGTTTTGGTCTTAGGTGGGATTAGCTGCATGGGAGAGCTCTCGCCCGCCCAAAGCTCCGCACCAACCAGCTGGAGCCGCTGTGAGTTTCAGGCCAGGATCCCTGAGCCGGCAGCCGTCCGATCACTCCATCGGCCGACCTTTCTCCATTGGCTAGAAGATGGGATGGTGAAATCGCTATCTACCGCATACAGCGACCTCAAACGCAGGCTCACCTCGTGGAAAGCACATGTGAATCTGGACCCGTCTGAACTCTCTTTTTCCCTCTTCACTTTCATTTTGTATAAGATAGAAGCATAGAACCCGGCCAATTGGCATCCTCCGCCAATTTATTGCATCTGTGTGTCATTTGTGTCATTTTCTTACTCTTTAATCACTCAAACATTTTGTATATTTCGTTTCTAAGACTGCGGCTTTTTCAGTACTCGGTAGTCGGCTAGAGTCAGTCACTTCATGATGGCGACTCTTCAAACTGCCATCCACGGCGACAAGAATGCCACAGCCGTCATTATACCTTCAAAGCCCAAGGCTCTGACGGTGACTTATCAAGGTCTGGCCAAAGAGGTTACATCTTTTCAGAGCAAACTCGCTGCCATTGGCATAACAACAGCATCACCCGTCTCAATCGCTACTGTGAACTCATATGAGTTCATCGTCTCATTTCTGGCGGCCTCGTGGCAGCGTGCCATTGCTGCTCCGCTGAACCCCGCCTACAAGCAGGGCGAATTCGAGTTCTACATCGAGGATGTCAAGTCAGCTATTGTGCTTGTGCCCAGGGGCGCTGTCCAGGCGGATAGCCCTGCTGTCAGAGCAGCGAAGAAGTTCAATGCTGCCATTGCTGAGTGCTACTGGGATGACGGGAAGCAGGAAGTCGCCCTGGATGTGAAGGATCTCGGCCAGTTGAAGGGCAAGGGCAAGGAGCAGATGCTGAAGGCCCAACCTGACGACATCGCACTGGTGCTGCACACAAGCGGAACTACCTCTAGACCGAAGGTGGTGCCTCTCTCCCACCGCAACCTGACGAGGACTATGGCGAATATACAGAAGACTTACGAGCTTACTGCACAGGACAGAACTATGCTCGTCATGCCTCTGTTCCACGTTCATGGTCTCTTATGTGCTCTGCTCGCGCCCCTCTACTCCGGCGGCTCCATGGTTGTGCCATCCAAATTCTCGGCATCCGAGTTCTGGGAGGATTTCGCCACACATAAGGCAAACTGGTACACTGCTGTGCCTACCATTCACCAGATCTTGCTCAAGAACCCCGCGCCGAATCCGGTCCCCAAGATCAGGTTCATCCGCTCCTGCTCATCACCTCTTTCTCCCACGGTCTTCCACCAGCTAGAAGAGACATATCAGGCTCCAGTTCTCGAGGCGTATGCCATGACCGAGGCCGCTCATCAGATGACATCAAACCCCCTCCCTCCTGCCAAGAGAAAGCCCGGCACGGTCGGCCTGGGACAGGGTGTTGAGGTGAAGATATTGGACGACAACGGCGACGAGCTGGCGCAGGGCAAGGAGGGCGAGATCTGCATCCGCGGCGAGAACGTCACGAAGGGCTATCTGAACAACCCGACGGCCAATGCAACCGCTTTCACCAAGGGACACTTCTTCCGCACCGGTGACCAGGGCAAGAAGGATGAAGATGGCTACATAGTTATCACCGGCCGCATCAAGGAGCTCATCAACAAGGGCGGCGAGAAGATTAGCCCCATCGAGCTGGATAATGTGCTCACGCGGCACCCCGCCGTTTCGGAGGCTGTCAGCTTCGCCATTCCAGATGAGATGTTCGGTCAGGAGATTGGTGTTGCTGTGGTCCTGAAGCCGGGACAGAAACTGACCCAGGATGGGCTGAAGAAGTGGACTGCAGAGAAGCTGGCCAAGTTCAAAATTCCTAAGAAGGTGAGCGCCGCAGTAACTAGCGATAATACAATCGTCGCTCTCTGCTAACAAATTTCATAGATCTACTTCACAGATGTTATGCCAAAGACTGCTACAGGAAAGATCCAGAGGCGCATTGTTGCTGAGACCATGCAGAAACAAGAGGGCAAGGCGAAGCTATAAACTTAGACGGTTCATATAGAGCACGGCAATATAGAAACAGAACAGTAGACGGCTTGCATATAGAAGCTGGAGAGACGGGCATGGTCACTTAGAGCGAGATTAGAAGCAAGAGATATTAGAGACACAAGACAACAAACTTTAGAAGTAAAGGTGCACCTCGCTGTTCCCGCTATACCGAGACTTCCATGCCCACACACCTTCTCGGCAATTAATATAAGTCCCGGTTGCTCGAACAATCAACGCCTCTGCCAGGGTAAAACACGTTGATACCGTAGGGGTAAGGATACCAAATTATGAGAGTCATGACACTTTGTTGAGGTCTCGAAGACTTTCTCGTAGGTCAAGCCGCTGAACACGGCGCGCGCCTGCGCATCGGCAATGGTTACGGGCCTTTACGGGGGCCTATGGAGAGTAGTACGGAAGCCGCCCCTCTTGACCCCACCTATCAACTTGGTACCTTAGACTCGGAACAACCTACGTTGGACAAGTACCGACATTATAAAGTTATAAATCCCACGCTCCTCTTCTCTCCCTCTCAGACATGGCAACCCGTTTCAGCATCTTGAGACGGTCAATTGGTCCCATATCTGCTCAATTCCCCAGAGGCTTATCACAAAACTACACAGCAATCCGCACAATGGCTTCATCCGCACCTAGGACGTACGAGTGGCTGGTAGTCGTACCGGACAAGCCCGGCGTACAGGAGACGAGACTCAAGATCCGGCCGTGAGTTCCTTGTAGATGAAGACAGCGTGCTACGGCGATCTCTCGTCTCTAATTAAGCATAACAGTGACCACTTCAAGGGCATGACTAAGTTTATTGAGTCGGGACAGTGGAAGATGGGAGGTATGGAAACTCCTTTCCTATCTCCCCGAAACAGCCCCTCTTCCGAGCTCTAGCTTCGAGACCGATGAGATCCCACTGATCCGGAATATCTGTAGGTGCCATCCTGGAAGACATGCCGGCAGACGATGAGGTCTCGAGCATGAAGTTCGCCGGCAGCACCCTGATCATCGTTGCTGAGAGCAAGGAGGCTGCCCTGGCTACTATCAAGGATGATGTCTACGTCAAACACGGCGTGTGGGATATGGACAAGGTATGAGACAAGCCGCACACTAAAAAGTCAAAGTCTAATCACTTGTAGGTCATGATCTGGCCTGCTAAGATTGCTTTCAGAAACCCGTAGATGCTGTGGGCTGGACGTGGAGAGCTGTAGCTAGAACATTACTGCTTCACAAACGGATGAGGAGCTGTACGTTGTGACCAAATCAAGAAAAAAAAAAACCGTCCTGAGATTGCCTCATTCCATTTACCGCCGTACTTTGGACCCCAACAGGGATAACTAACCTGCCCAAGACTCCAGCAAGCAGGGTTGTGATTCAAGATTTACAAACAATTCATACAATACGCAGAACTGGGTATAAGCCAAGCAAGTAAACATCCTTTCAACTCTCACCCTGCTCTGCCTCGGCAGCGAGCCTCAGCTCGTAGTTGAGCTCGAAGCACTCCTCGAGAAGCTCTGTCACGCTTCCCTGTCCTTCAGGAATGTCTTCGCCCACCATGAACTTCCCGTCCACTCTCATGTTGTCGATGGAGTTCAGCTACAAAATTCTGTGTTAGCACCACTGATCTGTTGACACATAAGGAATAAAGTATTAGTGTTTACCTTCATGCTGTACGGATACAGCTCTCTTGGACTGCCAACTCCTCCTGAGTTCTTGACCTCAACCAGACAGCGTTTCAAAGTCTGTAGCTGGTTATAGATCGGTAGCAGAGCTTCAGACACAGGCTCGGATGAGATCATGAGCGAATAGATATATCCGTAGCTTCTCCTTATGAGGTACAGGAATGTCTGGCTACTGTTAGAACGAAGTAAACAATCAGGTAGGAGCTATTGTCTTTACCCGTTGCACATATAACTCTGCAGGCTTGCCCTCGTCGTCCAGCCAGTTTCCATCCACTCGGCTTTCGTCGATCTTATCCAATTGTCGTTGAAAATCGTACAGGTCTGTTTCTCGGAGTGACCATGCTTGTGTTATGGACAGCTTGTCGAGGTCGTTGCGAATGCCAACCAAGATATCATAGATTGGCCTCCAGTTGTCTGGAATTGCTCCCTTTCTGTGAGTAGTGTAAGAAAGTGTGAACATCAATGCGATGACAAGATCGGGCATACCTTTCCAGCACTATATCTGACCAGAGGAGACATCTCCTCAGCAGCTCGGATACCTCGTCACTTCCTGGTGCAACTTGCCCGTCTGCTGTCATGAATTTGCCGTCCACTCGTTGCGCATCAATATCTTTGAGCTGATTTTGTAGTTTCTGAACCTCGGACACGGAGAACTAAACAGTAATCAGCATCGGTAAAGAGCGGAGGACTACCATACGTACTCTTGTTCGCGTGTTCGCCAAAGACATGGATCGAAGGATAGAGATAAGTTTCTCGTGAACAGATGGGAGTGTATCTCCAAGCCGGTCTAGCCTCCTGCGCAGGTTCGAAAGAGCTGTCTTGCACCGATCTACTCTGTCAGAGAGTAGCTCAATGAGATGTGGCGAGTGCTTTGATCCTGCATTCTTCACTGTCACGGAAAGTCTATCCAGGGTCTTCGACATGCTATCCAAGTCCTTCGCAGAGAATAGGTCGGCCTCCGTCAAATGGTCTAGCAAGCGCTTGATCGTCGATGTCAGAGAATATGCTGCCGGGGCCTCACTGGTTCGGCCAATCGTCATGAAGAATAGCGACAGCAGCTGGAAGCAGCTATCCAGGACCTTGTCCACTGTGAGGACATTAGCATTGCAATATGAAGCAATATGGGTAGGCTGAGGGCTCACGTCGATTTTCTCCCACCGGCTCCTTGCTTCGGGCCTCATTGAGTTGTCGCACTTGCTCGATAGTCTGATCATATAGAACCATGACATCTTGAGTGCGGATGTATTTGGTTCGATCCTGCTTCAGCAACAAGAGCTGGTCTCGTATGGCGACCAGCCTCTCAAGGATATCCCGTTCCCGAGCATCCTTGGGAGCCGGAATCGCCGGAGTGTCCATGATGATCTGGTGCCTTTGAAGGAGTTGAAGCTTGCGAGTCCTTCACAAGCAATCTCTGATTGACCTGGATGGCGGTAACAAGTGTTGAGTGAGGAAGGATGTCTGCGATCCCAACGTGGCGTTACCTCTTGAAGGCTGACCCCGCGTGCTCTAGTCTTGGCCGGAAACGATATCCAGTGGACTCACCAATTATGTGGCGAGAGGACAAGGTGGTATGACGACGATACGGATTCGGTTGATGATAAAGATAAGCAGCCTCCCGAGTGCTTGGTCCAGTTGTCTTGCAGTTGCAGATTTGGAGGATTTGCTCATAGCACGGCAGCTGCACGAGTTTCCACGATCCCAGCCTTCTTGATGGCCAGAAACGTCAGATGGTGGGGGAGGATGGTGCAGGTAGATCGAGGGACCGGAGCAATCGAGGTGGGGCAGCGTCGGAGCTCTGGGCTCGTAGATAAGTGGCTTGGTCGATAAGCGCACAGACCATCAAATCGCGCCCTATTACCTAAGCTCGAGCGGTTCCGTAGAACCACGGACGCTGAGCCAATGAGAGCTCATTGCCTGCTTTAGTTTCTTTCTACCCTAAATGATTTTCCACCGCGCACACAAAACGGACGATTTTCGAGACTCTTCCGAATCCTCATCGTCGACAGCAGAGACATTTTGCGAACCTGCAACTTTCTGCACACCACCACAATCCACACAATGTCTACTGCTGAGCTGGCAACGTCGTACGCGGCGCTCATCCTCGCTGATGATGGCGTCGAGATCACTGTATGGGCACCCCGGCAAACATCATCCTGGTTGACATCTTGCATCGGGGACTTGGTATACTAACTGGCGATTTTCTGCGAATAGGCCGACAAGATCACCACTCTCCTGAAGGCCGCTGCCATCGAGGAGGTTGAGCCTATCTGGGCCCAGCTATTCGCCAAGGTACGACATCTCGACTCGTCACCATCACCAGAAGAAGGGAATAATGGATTGCTAACTGGTTTCTGCGACTACAGGCTCTCGAGGGCAAGGACGTGAAGGACCTTCTGTCGAACGTCGGCTCTGGCGGCGGTGCTGCTGCCGCTGCCGGTGGTGCCCCCGCTGCTGGCGGTGCTGGTGCTGCTGAGGAGGCCGCTGAGGAGGCAAAGGAGGAGGGTGAGTTTCCCGAAGCTTGCCCCAGTCTCGATCCAAGTGTCATACTGACAATTACCCACAGAGAAGGAGGAGTCCGACGAGGATATGGGTTTCGGTCTTTTCGACTAAACGGTTTCCGCGACGACTTCTTTTTCCCGCTTTGTAAATCCTTTGAACTCTGCATGGGCTGCGATGGGTCTTTTACCACCGACAAAACGGATGGGGGCAACGGTTCTTGGCTGCAGGGATGGAGTGCCATTCTCATGGAATTGATGAAAATGCGCTCTCAACCATGGCCAACGCATGGAGTCTACGGACGGGACGTGACTAAACAGTTCTCTTTTGCTACCAAAATAGGAGAACTTGATGAGCTGTTGAAGATCACTTTTGGCCTCGTCTACTGTGACCACCGATCAGCACTGGCAGCACCAGGGAAGTGCTGTCATCATGTCGGAATTTGTGAAGTGCCATTTGTTTATTTGGAGGTCAACCAGCCCTATCTGATGCAGACTTGTGACTACGATAACCCATTGTGACTGATATCTGTGTGAGCTTTGATGCGGAAGCTGGCTACCAGACTTTGGCTTGGACCCCTAAAGCTATGAAGTATTTATTATCATCGTCCAAAACGCCAGATCATGCACCTCTAGAAGAGCTGAACCCTAGTCTGTCAACTCGTGCTGCAAAAATTATTGCACGATCAACACGCCGCTTGGGACAAGCCCTGCCTCCCTCAACGTCTTGCCGGAGTCGATGCCACTAGCCTCGAATACCTTGCGAGGGAAGGTCATTGTAAAGGTCTTGACATGCGTGCCCTCAGACTCAAGTGCCTGGGCGACCTCGAACAGTGTCGTGTCGGCTGGGAACGTCTTTTGCACATTGCCGCTCGGCAGCTGAAGTCTCAGCCGCGCCTCGTTGTGGGAGACAGTTCGCTGAGGAGGAGCAGGTGTTGCAGCCACTGGTGCAGCAGCCTGGACAGCTCGGCCCTCCCGAGCGGCCTTGGCTTCCTCTGCCTTGCGTTGACGCTCCCGCTTGTCGGCTTCGATCTTCGCTTTGATGGCCTTCTTAGCCTCCTGGTCAGCTAACTTCTCCTGCCGCTTCGCCGCGGCTTCCTTGAGCTGCTCCTTGCGCTTCAGTTCCTCCTTCGCATCCTGGGTTTCCCTGGTTGACTTCAGACGGATTTGCTAGATATATGTTAGTCTGTTTACCTCGAATCAAGGGTGTTCTAGGCGTAATACCTCGTTTCTCTTGGCATCCTCCTTGTCGAGGATAGCTTGGTTGGCCCTCTTCTCCTTAAGTTTCTGGCGCATTTCCTCGAGACGAGCCTTCTTCTCCTCCTCGGTCAGGGGGGCAATCTCCTCGGTGGACTCAGAGAAGTCGGTGTGCTCACTGCAGCATGTCAGATCCACTGAGCTAGAGAAAGGAAGCATCGATCCAGGGAAATGTACGTCTTGGATGCGTGAAACTCAGCGGCAGCATGGTTTCGGAACTTCTTGCCGCACTCGTTGCAGACCAGGGACTTCGCGACCTCTCCCTCCACAGACGAGATGGTCGGACCGGCCGCCTCCAGCTCGTCCTCCTTGGCTTCGTTTTGGAGATCCTCAAGGGGCTTGTCCTGGGTCTTCTCGAGCCACTCGAGAGCTCCCTGTACTGCCCTTGTGTTAGAACCATATTGGACAGTAGTTGGCTATTACCTACATCCACCAGACTTCTTCACTGCTAACTCGGCCCGAGCTTTGTCAAAGCCCATATCGAGCAGGACATCTAGATCTGATTGTCCCATTTTGCTGTTTTGTGAAATGCCCTAACAAGAAATGAGAGTGAGAGCGAGAGTTCGTCTTTGTCGTGAGTGGTGAGGTGTGGTGAGGTGATAGCGGGGCAGGTGACCGCCAGTCGGTTTGATGATGCACAACGAAAGTGAGTATGAGTTCAGTGTTCTCGTAGGATTTCACACTGCAAAATAAATATACGGCAGGGGCCTGCAGGTGAATGTTCTGGTGATATTCAGGCACAGCTGTCTTATTTGCCTTCGGGCACACTGGTTCAGGCTACTTCTGGTAACGTCATTTGTAAGGTCCCGGGCAGGAGGGGCAATAAGGTGTGGGATAACGCCGAAGGCTTCTCCAAAAGTCACTTTGGCAACGGTTATTTACGCCAGTACCTAGCCACAGCGTATGGCGCATGCTAGAAGCTGAATTACCTAAGGTAGGTATACCTGTGAACTGCGCAGGAGGAGTGCAGAGATTATAGATATATTCTCCAGGAGATATAAGGCAGCTATTTTGAGATTGCATGTAACAAGCTTTCATATCTTGGAATAACAGGTAAGTGCAACGCACTTGGTTTGGAGCACCAGTTAAGGTTTGTTCACATGTGTGGGAGGACCGCAGTGATGATTTCGAGACCACCCACCAAGGCCAACATTTAGCGCACGGGCGTCACCACAAATGAAATCTGGACTGGGAAGCTTTGCCAGGATAGGCTGTTAGCGCGTGCCTATGTCATAACACCTGGCCGCCAGTGTCGTTGACGATTTGTGAGCATCCCCGTCCCCTTTCAGCAGGAAACAGTAAAAAGTTAACGAACATTGACGACCTCCCTCGTGCCCCCTCGAGTTCCCAACCCTTGACACAAAGCCATCATCGCCTCAGTCTATTGCCAACGGGCTCTATTGTCTTCCTACTGCCTTGCGCTGCTCCCGCCGTCGATTTACGACACCGCCGCTCTATTGCGACACACCACACCGTCATCGAACACGTCTTGTGATCAAGTCAACATCCACCACCATGTCGGTCGAGATCGATCCTTTGGAGCTCGGCTTCCGCCGTACGTCGCAACAGTCAGGTTCCTCTTCGAAGTCCACGCGCTAATCTTCACTTTCCACTGACAGGGCCCTTCACCGTCGAGGTTGCGAATATCCTCAAGATCAGAAACCCCAACAAGTCCCCTGTTGCCTTCAAGGTATGGAGCTCTGTGTGGTGATCTCCCACGGATCTGACACTAACGCTCAATTCAATAGGTCAAAACCACAGCGCCGAAGCAGTACGAAGCTCGCCTAAACACTCTATATACGACGGAGAGAAGCTTACCCTGACTGTAGATACTGTGTCAGGCCCAACTCTGGGCGCATCGAGCCAGATCATGAGGTGGAGGTCACAGGTTGGTCTTCCCGGATGATATGGTCTCGAGAATGCATCACTCACATGTTTTCCGCGCATCACAGTGCTCCTTCAGGCGATGAAGCAAGACCCACCTCTAGACACTAAGTGCCGAGACAAGTTCTTAGTTCAGTCTGTCAACATTTCTGGCGACAAGGAGTTCACCAGCGTCCAGCAGATCGTGAGTGCCATTAATCAACGCAATTTAGGGGTTTTCGGCTTACTAGCTTCATCAGTGGGATTCTGTCGAGAAAGCCCAGATTCAGGAGAAGAAAATCCGAGTCAACTTCTTGCCAGCCGGAGACTCTGCTACGGGCCCTGGAGCGACCCCGATCAGACAGCATCTCTCCAATGGCGTGAGTATCAGCTGAGCTCCTGGGGATATGATGACGACTGACACGACAACTCTAGGTTGAGGCAACTCCCGATGCCCCTCCCCCGGCCTATTCGTCTCCCCAAACTGACAACATTGGTGGCTCTGCCGAATCGCCCATCTCAGAGACCAAGGGCGAACCCGATGTTGCTCCGTCAGTCGTGTCTGGCGTCACCGCAAAGTCATCCGCCGAATCAAACGTGAGCGACTCAAAGCCGCTAGTGGCGGAGTCCGAAGGTGTGAGGCAGCGAAAGGGCGTTGTGGGAGCAGTCGTTGAGAATACACCTTCAGCTTCCGAGCTGGCTACAGCTGTAAGACCACCCGCAACTGAGGGTGTGCCTGTTCGCATTGTGGCATTGCTATGCCTGGCCAGTTTCCTACTGGCGTATTTCTTCTTCTAGCGGCTGGTAGGGTGCTATCGGATGTTGAACAGTGGTCAAATCATAGATGTTCCTGAACGGACTTGACTGACCACTTGAGGAGCTATGCTCCTATTGCTGTTGCAATGATGAATAAAGGGAGAATCGGACGGCTTTTGCAGTGAATGACTAGCTATATAACCAGCTGCCGTGGTATGTACAGAGGTCTGCAGAGGGCAGACAGGCGCGAGTTGTGCTAGCGGCTATCATGATGTACTCTATCTTGTACTTTGTTACCGACGTGACCATTTCAGGTAGTATTGGCGTCTTCCATTCCTTAATGACTGCATTTCCTTGGTCATATAGCAATTCATGTCCTTAACGTTTATGCTGATGGCAAATGACTCTCGTCGCGTTCGTTGTAGATATGTCTATCATTAGATGTACTCGTAATTTCTATCGTGTTTACTGACACAATATGGTGTCATTTTCTATGCCCGACTCCGCGTAGACCGGGCCCTTGAATTAGATGCCCACTGGTATATGGGCTATTTATACGACGCGGAGGAATTAACACCTTTCTCTAGATCCCACTCCCGGGTGATGAAGACTGCCCACGGTCCACTCAAGCCTCGATCTCGTCCTTGGTCCAAGCCGCCGTCTTTGCGACAGGACCGCCACCAGCACCGACCTTGCGGCCGCCGTCCTTCCTCTTCACACGGCAGGTGATGCCGACGTTCTCGTCAAAGATGAACTGCCAGAGCACCATTGTCCAGCTGCGGTGGTGCGGCAGGTCGGCGTAGAACTCGCGCGCGATCTTGTGCAGCACGGGCAGGCGCGTCCACGGCACGGCGGGGAAGTCGTGGTGCTCGTTGTGCAGGCCGACGTTGTACGTCAGGAAGTTGAGCGGGCCGTAGTAGCTGAAGGTCTCGGGGACGGGGATGTTGTTGCTGGGGTCTCGGGCGGCGGGGGCCACCGTCTCGTACACGTAGTGCTCGGCGATGAAGTGCCCTGCGAGCGGGTGCAGGGAGCCGGCGAGGAAGGAGGACAGGAGCATGTATAGCAGGGCGTTCGCGGACAGCGTCGTGACGAGCGCGTAGTCGAAGGCGAACTGCACGGCCACGTTCAGCGCCGATACCCACGTGAAGGGCACGGCGAACACGGTCATCGGCCGGATCGCGTAGAAGAAGATCTGGAAAGTGCAGAAGAAGGCCTTGCCCAGGATGCTGTCGAACATGAAAGCCTCGAGGGCTGTGGGCAGATCGGTATCAAGGCCATCTACACCGAGGGACTTGTGGTGTGTGAGGTGGTATGGCTGGGAAGTTTGTTAGCATAGGCCAATGTCTGGCGCAAGCCCAAGACATACCCTGAATGAAGCACTATATGGGAGCCCAATGGGCAGGTTGGCAAAGATGGCGAACAGTCGATTCGCCGTCGGGGATCGGAAAGCAAGATTATGCGAGATCTCGTGGATGGCCAGGAACAGGTTCTGGTTGGCTGTTGCTCCAACGACATATGCGAGCGCCCAGAACTTCCATGACCAGAATGATGTGTCCCGGAGGGTGTAGGCACACAGTATCTGTATAGAGACAACGAAGGCGACGACATATTTCGTCAAGGGTTCGGGTCCGCAGAGCTTTGTTACCTGAGCAAAGAAGCTATTAGCCTTCGGGATTTCCCATTGCATGTCCGAATCAAGACACAAACCTCAGGATGAGCTTTGATTATAGCCAGCCGTCTCGTTCGATGGGGTTCTTCAGTATATGTCCAGAAAAAGTCGTGATGGCCAGACTCGTTCGCCTCTTGTTGAGGTGCAGCAGCGCCCTTCAATTGGATATGTCCGTTCGCTTCCTTGCCTCCCTCCTTCTTTCTCGACGTGGCAGTCGTTACTGTCGTTGATGGAGGCGCCATGATTCCTGATTTCGAGAATAGAGTGCAATTGACCCTACTTTCTTCCTTCGACCCGGGAATTTCGACGTGAAATACTCGATCTGTTGAGAAGATCTGCCCCGGATCATTCGATCTAATAAAGTTATCGGGCGGTGTGTATGGAGGGGCAGTCGCTGTGGAACCAATCACGGCAGCCTGTAAGAGCTCATGCACCGCCCAGTTTCAGGGGTCTGTGGAACGGAAAATAGGGGCTTCGACGCGCGTTCTAGATCTGTGTTACAGCCCTTACGGGTGGCCAACGCCACATTCTTAATTGATTGATCAACGGTCTTGGCCCGTCCGTGACCGAGGTCATTCACAACGAGCAGAAAAAGCAAAGAACCACTCATTCAAGTGGAGAGAGGGTTTCTGAGAGATGCCGGATTATTGCATTTTTGAAAGGTATTTTTTACAGATCAAATGCTCGCTTGCAAAGTCACTCTATCGCCTGCTATCAAATTCTAAAACCTTGAGGTGATCGTGGGGGGCTTGTTGTTGAGGATACTGTCAATCTCATCCAATATCTCTGGTGTCAGCTTCTTGTAGGCCTCGACAGCCTTCACGTTCTCGTAGATCTGCTCGACGCTGCTTGCACCGGTGATGGCCGAGCTGACGTTCGGGTTCTTCAAGACCCAGGCCAAAGCCAGCTGGCTCAACTTGATGCCCAGTTTGTCGGCGATGGGCTCCAGCTTGTTGACTTGCTTGATAGTGCCTTCCCACTGCTCTTTGCCAGTTCGCTTCCAGTAACCCTTGATAAACTCAACTGATTGCTGAGCGAAACGAGAGTTGTCAGGAATGCCGTCCTTGTACTTGCCAGACAATATACCTTGGTTAAGGGGCGAGAAGACGGTCAGACCAAGACCGACCTCACGGTACAGGTGGGCATATTCGGTCTCAACCTTGGTCCTCTCCAGCATGTTGTACTTGGGCTGCTCCATCACGGGGCCGATCAGGCCTAGCTTGTCGGCGTACCTCCAAGCCTGAGCGATCTCGTCCGCGTTCCACTCCGATGTTCCCCAGTAGAACGCCTTGCCCTGGTTGATGATGTGGTTGAACGCGCGAACTGTCTCCTCCATTGGGGTGTGACGGTCTGGGCGATGGGCGTAGACTAGGTCAACGTAGTCGAGGCCTAAGCGCTCCAGAGACTGATTCATGCCCTCGATGACATGTTTCCGTGACAGACCGACATTGTTAGCACTGTTTGTGCCAAAGGCACCACCCCAGTAGATCTACAAAAATTAGTAAGAGCGTCGTGAAAAATGATATGCCTTCAGGGGTAAAGGGGGCATACCTTTGTTGAGATGACAAGATCATTGCGCTTCCATCCATATTTCTTAATTGCCTCGCCCATTACTTTCTCAGACTCTCCTTCCGCATACCCCTCAGCGCAGTCAAAGAAGTTGACACCGCAATCATAAGCTGCCTTCATGCACTTAAAGGTGCCCTCTGGTCAATTGTCAGCGCATCGTCCAGGTGGGTTTCGGTGACAACAAACTTGCCTCGATCAACATGACCACCATAGGTGAGCCAGCCGCCAAGAGAGATGGCGGAAACCTTGAGACCTGACCGGCCAAGGAATCGATACTCCATTTCTGGTAGTCCTTCCGGCTTCGACATGGTGTTTTTATAAGTTCCAACAGCCAAGTAATTGAGTGTTCGTATATCTGTCAGGTCTGTCTATCCTGGCTCGGTTCGAATTATAGTGAAAGATGTAGGTGTCTGATGCTCTGTAAATTTCCTGAGACTCAATGGGCTATGGATCCTCGTATTTATAGCTTTTGCCTCAAGCTCCGATGAGAACTCCCCTAAGCTCCATGACGGAGTTGCCATGAGGGGGTGGGTGGGGTGCCAGGGTCTTGCTGGTCCCACGGAGCGGTTAGCTCTTTGCAGGTGCCACTACCGCTTAAATACCCGCCGGGTCGGAAGGTCTATCGCCTCGAATCAACGGTATTGGGTCGTGGTGTGCTTCACTGTATGTTTGAGCGGCATCGAACCATCCTGCATGATGATGACTTAAGGTTGACACCCATCCACGCCTAGGGTGCCCGGCACTCGGATCATGTCTAGGCGAAGTCACCCCTCCCTCCTCCCTTGTTGGGCGCACGCAAGTCTGTATGTGAGCCATGATGCCCTCCATCGGCGACTGCCCGGAGTGACATGCCGGGATAGCAGCTGCAAGTCGCTCGCAGCCCTCACTCATAGAGATATCTTTTGTCTCTTTTTTCCGTCGCAGCAAGTGAGTGGGGGGCATGCTGGGCAGATCGTTTAGCGGTTCAACTAGGCTTCTTACTTGTTACAGTGCTTACCAAGCTAGCTGGCCGGCGAGATGAAAAGGGATAAGTCGACCAGCGCCCGCAAGCGTGCCAAACGGGTGTTCCTGGCTGGGAGTCGTTGCGATACTTAACGCCGACTCACTAGCTGCCTTCGCCGGGCTGTCATAAGTCTTGTCGTTGCGAACAGAGATTTTCAGATCCCAGCGCCGCAGCGGATAGGCGGCATACTGAAACAGGGCAGCAGTGCCTACTGCTGACCAACACCCACTCAAGATATCACATAGCACACACACAAAAAGAAGCCTCCAGGGCAAAAAGAACGTATTGAGAATGAAAGGGTAGCCATTCTTGTATTCTGTGTAATAATAGCTAAGTGAAGCGAGTAAAAATGAAGTAAGTAATAGCAAATAAGTCACCTGACTGCTGGCAGGGGTAA